CCCCCCCCCCCCCCCCACCGGTCGTGCGGTCGGGGTTCACCGGTCTCTCTTGCGGTTTGATTGCCGGCACGCTGGTGGGTTTTTCATCTGCACATCATGTCTGGTGATTTCAGCTTTGGGCATCCCCCGGCCGCCATTAAAACTTGGACAGTGGTGAGGGATCCACACGGTCGCGTTTAAGACCGTGGTGTCGTATTGGCCGCTAGCACTGGCGTTGTTTTGGCACCGTCGACCTCTTCCTGGTATTGAAAAGTACGTGGGACAGTCGTTGCGTGGCAACTGGGAACTATTTTTTCCCTCCATTCACAGTGGAGGGTTAGCTTGGTGCATGCTTTGTTGCTCCTTGGTATCCAGATAAGAGGGGTCCGGCCGATCTGGATTTTTACTGAAAGGAACAGCCAGGAAATGCGACACATCCACGTGCGAGGTTCGCGGCGTAATAAAAATGTCGTGGTGATGAATTTTGCATGCGATAACGTCACAGGCTAGGGGGCTGTAGGGAGGGGGCCCCGTGTGTACGCAGCAGCTCGAAGCATCTCAGAGGCGCTGCTTTATTCGCCTCATGATTCGGGAGTTAGTTGCGCTGAAGACCCTGGCCATATCGCGGAGGGAGCCAGGATGGATCCCAAGGGGACGCCCCTGAATTTTGTCATGGCAGGATGGGCGTGTTGCCGATACATGGCATTTGTCGTTTAGACCCTACACAGCAATAATTGCGGGTTGTTTATAGGGGCAGGGTGCACCTACGCATGCGAGGAGGTGTTGGTTCGCCTTCGGGCGGATGTGTTGAAGGGGGTAGTCGGATTCGTTGCGACTGTAGCCATGCTGATTAGTGTGATGCTTTCTTCGCCAGTGCTGTAGAGACCCATGTGTTAGACCCATGTACGCGTGAAGGATGCGGTACATCTGCGCTCAGAGAAGAATAGTGAATTTGAGTAGAGGGCCTACATTCGAACTGCTGGGTGTACGCACGGTCGGGTTCTCAAAACGTGCACGCTGCAACGGACGTGGGTCAATGTACAAACCGGTGCGAGATCTTGACGAGTGAGGGCGCGCTGTGCTAACTCGTATTCTCTTTGACGTCACAACTGTGTCGCTGGTTTTTCTGGTGGCTTCAATTCTCCGCTGAGGAGCAACCAACCTGGATATTCCCTCATACTGTGCGTTTCTCCCGAGGCGGATGCGACAGTCCGTCTCCCTCGACAGCATGACACTCGAATTGTTAATCGACACTACTTCCAAAATGGCCCCCTAATGGACTTGAATCCAATATTGTGTGATCGTTATTTGGTTTCGAAGACAAACTCCTTTGAACCATGACGACGACCTTCGCCCACGAGTGATCGTCATTGCCTGTCTGATCAATCAAAATGAGGAGTATTTTTCACTTCTCAACAAGGATTTTGCCTGCGTACAGTACGGAGGAGAGGACTTACTGAGGCAGGGCCAAGACGAAGTGTAACCGGCGAAGTAACGACTTTGAGGGGTGGCTGTTGAAGTCGTCCCGAGGTACGGAGAAATGATCATGTACATGTTCCTGCACGAAGTTCACTAATTACCTCACACCTTCGATCGTGGGCGTCACCTTGTTGACTGTCATTTGCTGCAAGGCGAACGAAGTGTGAAGTGCGAATGTCATTTCCCCTGCTCCCATCCGCCACCCGCGGACAACTATTGGTTCGTGTGGGCGTGGTCTTGACCAGCATAGGTTCTCTCGAGGTCTATGTGAGAAGGCGCTGGAGAGGAATCGACCGCCCGAACCAACGCTCGACCAATCAGAGGGCATTCACCCCCGTAGATGGGAAGAGTCACCAACAGACCGTAGTAACTGCTGTGTCATTCTGTAAATGAAACTGTGTGAGAATGCGCTGGAGAGGAATCGACCGCCCGAACCAACGCTCGACCAATCAGACCCCGTAGATGGGAAGAGTCACCAACAGACCGTAGTAACTGCTTTGTCATTCTGTAAATGAAACTGAAACAACCATTGGCATCGATGATTATCGGACGAAACTTTAATCTGTTCGAGCTCACTCTTGCCACAAGGCACGCGACGCGTGACGCTGGTGTCGAGGCCAACACGCGACTGCCTCTGACGGTGACGCTTTCCAAACGAGAAAGGAATGGGTAGCGTAGCCATGCAGATGAGTGCAAAACAACATTGACATCACTTCGCCCGTCTTTTGATCAGCTCACAGCACCGACAAACTCAGTCTAGACTATATTTTGTGAAAGCGCCGATATATGGAAAGCGCCGTTTGGTCGGTTCTCGAGCAGAATTTCACTCATCAGTGTGCAGGATAGTTGGAGTTTGATTGGAAACAACCTCGTGGAGCACACGCGCGGACACGGACGCATACAGAGAGTGCGTGTCTAGTGCATACTGCGAAGCCCGACGAGGAGGGGAGAGACCGAAAGTCGGAGAGCACACTATGGGAGATAGATCCAAATCGAGTGCACAATATAGGTCAACCCGCAGAGCAGCGGTGTTGACATGTGTAAAGTGACCGTGCTCTTGTAGTTTGTTTCACTATGTATTCCAATACCGGATCGGCCGTTGATTTCAAATGATGTACCTAAGAGGATATCTCCGATAGCCGGTTGCGATTCCACATGAAACAGTGCAAAGCCGATGGAGTAGGCTGATCGAGCTTGGAGTGAATCACCCTAGGACCGAGCGAATTTCATCGGCAATTTCCCCTAAGGATTTCATTAGGCAGAGGCATGGCCGTGGGCACACGAGGTGTGTGTGGCGGAGAGGCTAGCATGTTGCCCTTCACGACGTCGACTCATTCGTCAGCCACAGACAGGCAGTCGATAGACGGTTTAACGGCCAACCGCCTTTCGAATTAAATGGAATGGTGACACCCCTCCCACGTGTGCTGCCCATACGATGTTTTTTTTGTTCCTTGCCGGCGTGATGTATGATGTATGTATGGTGCAACGCACTGGCGTGAGCCGCGTATGTTGTTAGTGGGTGAAACAAAACATCATGTTTGCGGACTGCGGTTCTATGACACGGCGCACTAGCGTGTGATGCGGATTCGTCTGTTCGCCGTTTCCATGTATGGCGTGCATTCACGAAGGTAAATTGAGGTAACACGCCAACTGTAATTTTGTGGAACCTCACAAAATCTTGACTGTGGTACGCCCTGTACGCAGTATCGTGGATGAGATGTGAATATTCCCATCGCTTCATGCCTGCTACTACCAGTGACATTCGACATTGTGGCATTAAGATTGTACAGTCATAAAGTGAATACGATCTACCAGGACAAGATCGAACTCGCCATCTGGGCACCCTGATTTATCGATGGAAGACATGTACAATCTTTGAGTGTCTTTGAGTGAATACCTCCTTGAAATTCACTTGGAACAGTATCGGCGGCGGTGTTGCTCAGCAATGAATATGGATGACAGCGACCTATCGATTAAAACACAACCGTTTGAATCGTCTTGCGTTCATTCTAACTAGCGGTTGTGTTGACCGCCCACGATATGGTGCTCAGACTGTACACCAGCCATGTTTGTTTCATTCTCGAGACATTACATGTGTGTGAAACACCGCGAAGGACAAGACAAAATGATCACAATACAATCATCATCGTGATGTCTGATGGAGAATGGAATGGCCCGTGTTTGCCGTAGCCACCATGCTTCGACACTCAACTGGGGCCGCTCATTCAACTGCCAATAGTTCAGGACAAAGGATCAGCAATAAAGAGGTGATGCTTGCATAGCAACACAAATCTTTGTGAGGTACACGAAAGACCCCCAGCAGGAGCGATGAGACAACGGGTTGGGGAGTGCGCCCAACAAGATTTTGCACGCTCGTGCCGCGGAGTTGCTTGGGAGTACATATTCTGGTCGAGGTGTTGCGTGTGTGGCGATTTCTTGGCGCACCCCCAAGGGCTACCCGGCCACACAGCGCCAACCACACAGCCGACTCCGCCTCGTTGTCACTGAAGTTATGTTGACATTTGTAGTCTAGCGGCAATATACTTGGAATTTTCCAATTTGAGGAGGAGAGAAACGTGGGACACTCGCGAGAACAGCGTTCAAGAAGGTCAGCTGGATCCGACAGGACCGAAGCAAAACGCAATTTCGTTGTCGGATGTTTCGACGAGGTTTGCGGTGTTCGAGGCGGTTTTGAGCCTTGACCCGAAAGGGACGTTTCTGATCTTCAGGACCCGACTGCTGTTCATTCCACTCCACGTTCTCGGGTTCCGTGGCGATCGTGTGTTGTTTGTTGTACTCGCCGCCGTGGTGGTAGCGGTGTCCGCGATATTTGTTTACTATGTGATAGCAACTCGACGAGTATCGTCGCGTTGCCTGTCTGAAGCTTTCCAGTTTTTTAGCGGCTAGTGAAGTCGAGGGCGCACACCGCGACACGCTCGCCCACCGAGCACGACAAAGAGTTCTGTACACAGAGTAGATGACATAAGATGTCACACCCCCTGAACATTTTTTTTTAATTTTCAAAGCTCGATTACTCCACAGCAGAAAGCGTGGCGTGGCCGGGCGGCGTTGGCACCGATATAGCTTTCTTTCCGAAACAAACTTACTTATCGTTTGACATCCTCGTCGTCGTGGACTAACATTATTAGCTGTGAATATCGATGATGATGCGATATACTATGTCACCTACTGCCGGTACATGCCATGCACAAGAAGAACAAGGAGCACCCTCCATACTCCAGTAAGTTTTTGTATTTATTACTTGGTTGAATTGAAACCTCTCATTATACTCATCCATGAAGAAGTCGTTTTATTTTTATACGCTAATACTTCATAAGTGGTGCAAAAACTATCCGTGGACGAACCCAACAGTTCCGTTGTTGTTGTCTTCACAATCAATTTACAATCCCGTTCGTTCTGCTCTCTCTACCCAGTACCTTCTTCGTCTGTCCGTGCTACAGTGTATGATAGTCTCACACTTGACGCGGTCGATTCCCGCCGCCGCCGTGGTCACAGGCGAACTTACCCAAAAAAGTTGGAAGAAAATAAAATTGACCATGAAAACAAGTTGATGAGAAGGGTCCGCAAGTCAACGACAGATTAGTCTAGGACCCCCCGCTCGCTTCAATACGCTATGCGAGGTAGTAGCCATAGACTGGACAATAAAGAAAAAAAGCAAAGAATAATAGAGAGAGGCGACCTCGCGCGCACCCGAAAAAACCGTCAGTCTTCGATCGGCACTTCTCACTACGCCCATCCATGCGCATGCACTTTTTGGTGCCGAGGGACTCAAATGCTTTCAAGAATGCCTCCAATCATCTCGTTGATCTTTTTCTGTCGTTTACATACACACATGTAGTACGCACGTCACACCCGAATGAAAAGGAGACCACACCAGAACGCGCTCTCCGCACGCTGGGAAAGAATCCGGGACTATATGAATGAATGCGGACCCCAGAAGATGCGCTTTTCACAGTAGGTTTCCTCTCCAAAACGAAAGAAACCGACGGGAGAGAGGGAAAAAAGAAAAAAGAAGATAAAGAAAACTAAAAAATAAAAGGAGAGGCGTAGTACGCGTTCCCCGTCATGGACATTAAATAAGAGTCGTATTGTGGTATTTGCAGGAACCTCTCTCTGCGATCAGGTCAGAAGGCCACCAGTCCCCGGGGCTCTTCTGTTGCACCCACCCATGGACGGACGCAGCAGTAGTAGCGCATGTCCTGTAGTAGACAACTAACTACTGCTGAAAATATTGGAGACCACGAATCAAACCGACAGGTGGGTCGTGGGTGGGCGGGGGACCCTAAGAAACAGCCAGACTCAGCCAGTTTACATCCTCACAGTTTCTTGCAAGCAAGAACGAAGGGCGATAAAAAAAGAGAGACCGCCAGCGACAGGAAACAAAGAAGTAGAGCAGAGCTAAGAAACAAGTGAAGAAACAAGGTCCCCTTGCCGCTCTGACCCACCGGAAGCTTTCCATGTACCGCAGCAAACAGCAGGGGCGGCACCCACTACCTCACAATATGCAGTACCCGGGTACACGGACTGGTACGTAGTGTAGTAGATTGGTCTCTCTCTCCGGTAAGAACAATAACGCCTGGGCGAACTTGAACTTGTAGTCACAAGAAATAGCGTCATGATGACGTACTTCATTCTGCTTGCCGTGGGAGATGCGCATCGTTACGCAAGGAAGGCGTTAACTCCTCGCACAGAATATTATGCTGCCGTAGACCCTATATCCCTCAAGCTCAACCACAGCTGTACCCGATACATGGTAGCATCATATCCAGCTTTAGAAGAATCGAAAAAAAAGTGTCTTCTTGGTGGCGAAGCGGACCCTCTTTATTGTGACTCCATCTCCAACTGCTTGCTGTTCGTGGATGGCCACATGGCGACACAGACAGACAATAATTAGGGCTTGACGTCGGTCTTATCCACCGCAGGGGGTTGAAGCTATACTCAAAGTCGGGGAGGGGTCGGTCGTGATTTAATTTGCAATTCCCTACGGAACCGCATTTGAGGCGCCATGAAATTTATTTGCACTGCAGTAGCCGAGGTTGTTAATCGGCAAGGAAACACAAAATACAATTCATGGGTGGTTTTTTTTTTTTTTTTTTTGTTCTCCACTTCAAATCAGCGCTCACAGCACAAGTGCCGTTTATTCCAACCCGTGGTCACACAGAAGGGCCTCTCTCTACCCTCCCCTCCTGCGGTACTTCGCCTTCAATTGTTAATGCGAGAAGAGTTCAGCACTCTCTTCCCTCTGTGTACACACGAACTAGCGCTATCCACTTGGCCAGGAGCGGAAGCGAGAGAAAAACTCACTTTGCAAGAAAAGCTCGCCTACGCCGGGATTCGAACCCCTGACCTGACCTCTAGAAGGTTACGAGACTACCAACTAGACCACCGGGGCGACGGGTTGGGTGAGCGGGGGACCCCAAAACAATGAAACAGTAGTCGCGGTTCGCGTTGTTCTGGGGCCCTACCGGCGAAAAACATCGTCGCCGCTCTGAACCGCTGGAAGCTGTCACACAGCACTGCATGTGCGGCGAACCGATTGCCATTGACGTTCGATGTTTTTGGGACCCTTGCCCTAACGGCAAAAATGCAACAGAGAGAGAGAGAGGTAGACTAAAGGAAGGGAGACTCGAGAAGACAAGAGAAGACACCCACTCTCATCCCTCTGGCCCACCGCAGGCTTGAACACGTGTAACGAACGGCGACGATCGATGTGCGCTCAGCAACAACAAACACGACAAAAGAAAAATAGTCTAGTCGTCGTTTCCGAACTGCTGTGGAGATACTGCAAGTTGGTGGAGACTTTCTTTCTTTTCTGGTATGAAGTGGCAACGAAGAAGAACACGACTATCTGTGTAGACTAGAAGCACGACGGACGAACTATTATCTCAATGCGCTTGCCGTCGCGATAGATGCGCACCGCTACCGCTATACGAACGAGCAGACTGTTGTCAAACCTGACTACGATAACCGTACGACCATTGCAGCACATTCCGAGCATAACAGCAGCAACCGCAGCAGCAGCCGCATGTGTACAATGGTCACTCAAGAACAAACGCAACAAAAAAAAAAAAGATTGTGGCGCGCAGCACGCAGGACCCTCTTTCGCTGTTTCAACCGGCCGTTCCCATGGCGAAACAGGGCAAGGAACAGTCAAGGTCGACTCTTGCCGGCCACAGGAGGCGGAAGCTGCTCAAACTCAGGACGGCTCATGGTTTGCGATTCCACACCGAACCATACTCGAGGCGCCCCGAGATTTACACTGTAGCTCGAGATCGGCATTTGAGACAGGGTCGGGCAAGGGGTGGGCTATGCGAATAAAAGTTCCACGGATATTGAAAGATGAGACTGAAGCTAAAGCTTCAGAATTGTTCATTGCATACTGTAATATTGTTCGTGTTGAACTGTGTGCAATCGTTGCCCGCACGCAACACGGACTGCCACGCGGAAGTCTACATAGGCTGGCAGCCGACCTTTCGTTTAGGCACTCAATCCGACGTTGCTCTTGCCTTTCCTCGGTAGCAAATAATAGCTTTCCGAGAGCGTGATGCGATGGGAACCCGCCCGTGCTCTTAGACCGAGGGTTGGACACAACGGAATAGTATGAGGTAGAGGTCCCTGTTCTGAGGCCGCGTATAGGTCTACAAGGGATGTTACCGGCCATTCATATCGAGCACCCCACACCATTCAGAGTACGAGACAACTGAATATTCCATTTGTGCCCAGCGATTTCACCAGGGCAACCGGCCGAAACAGGGACCTCTGCTGCTGTAGCGGGAAGAAAATAGCGAGCAGGCCGGAATCTAGCAGGGGCAAGGATGTCTCGCTGTGTCATGTAGAAAAGGATCTGCCTCGGCCCCATCGCCTCAACAAGCACACGCACGGGAACATGCCCGCAAGGCCCGCTATTGCTTCATGTCGCAGTCGAGTTGATTATGCTTCGCAATCTACCCCCCAGGCTCCCTTGGAGGTCATCTGAGACCCCACAACACCACAACCAAACATGAATCTCGAATAGTTCACACAATGTGGAAAAAAGGGCATGCTATGTAGAGAGAGGGGAGGGAGGGTACGGGGGGGAGGACACGCAAACCACCGGCGTAAACAGGATAAAAAAGCTTCCCGCCGACGAACAGCTCAAAAAGTGGTTTCCACGACCAAATGAAAATTCGCTTTATCCGTACACACCTACGCATCTCTGCGCCTACGCGCGGCAAACGTACGTCCTCAAGCCTCCGAGCAAACAGCTTGAGAACCAAGCCCGATGCTCCGGCGGAGCACTAGGGGCCCTCGCTAGCAGGTTCATGCTCGACCCCCTGTTCCAGAAATCATCTCAGCGGCAGGCCATTTGCATGTATAGACTCGAAAGCATGGAATGAACGATCCCCAGCCCCGGCTATCCCCCTTTCACACATCAAAAAGTATGCTTGTAATCATCAACCTGTGCTCCCGCCCGCACATGGCAATCTCCAATTGGAAACGGCCACGCCCTGATAGCTCCGGTCACCCCCGCCGCCCGCGAGTTACGGGAGTGCAAGGCAGCGCCGCCGAACACCGTTCAAGAAACCACCCCACTTTTCCAAGAAACGCTCACAGTTAAGCCACAACACACTTTTGGCAATCACACACAAACTCTGCTGCTGTGCACTCCCGCTTTTCTGCTGTACCTGGCCTATTACTGCAACATTTTGTCGCCCCATCCCACATCTCATGATACCCCCTCCGGTCGTGCACACACGGGAAGCACGAGCACGCGACTGGCGCGTGCGCTCTTCTTCCGCTGGAGGCGGCCGCGGCAAAACAAACCCCCCCTAAAACCCCACACCCCGCAGAGAGCCCCCCCCGCTTCCGCCCCCTTCCCTTGCATGTGTTTTATCTTTCCCACACGCTACAACCCCATGGCGGAAGCGCCCAACTGTACGGGGAGGGGGGGGGGGGGGGGTACACTTGCCATCTTCCATCTTCCGTCCTCCCTCCGCTGATGGCTAGTGAACAGGCCGGCCGGC